CTATCTATCTATCTATCTATCTATCTAACTATCTATCTATCTATCTAACTATCTTATTTCTATTTATCTAATTTCTTTCTATCTATCTATCTATCTGTCTGTCTATCATCTATCTTATATCTATCTATCATCTATCTATTTATCTAATTTCTTTCTTTCTTTCTTTCTTTCTTTCTTTCTTTCTTTCTTTCTTTCTTTCTTTCTTTCTGTCTGTCTGTCTATCTATCTATCTATCTATCTATCTATCTATCTATCTATCTATCTATCTATCTATCTATCTGCGAAATACCACTTGCGCCTCATTGCAAAATCTCCAAAACCGTAAAGCCTACAAACCTGAAATCTGGCACATAGGGTTCCTCTTGACTTCTAGGGGCTCACTAAGAAAAGATTTTTTAAAATGACCATTGGATCATTAGTATTTCATTAGTATTTCTTATACAGCAATTAACAAGCTCTGATGCTAAGGAGATCTACTCCTCCTCCTCCCCACCTGAAAAGAAAATCTCTTCCAAATGAAAAACATAAGCAGAGGAGTTTTAGTTTCAGAGCAGCAAGCAGCTTTAGTACAGACCAATTGAGCTAAGCCACGCCCAGGCTCCTTGCTGTCTCCTTGCTCACAAAGCAAATAATCTTTCAGTTTCCAAACAGCCCTCAGCTCTCTCACACACTGACAGGACGCTAGCCAGGTGAATACCGATGGATGCTGGTAGGCAGAGGCAGAATTCCCCCCCCCTTTTATTTTCTCCCACAAAACTAAGCCCACATATAGTTTCGTAGCGAAGCACGGGGATCGAGTTTATACTCGAGTTTATCTTTATACTAAGATAAAACCAGAGGCTTTTTTCTTTGGGGTTTCACGGAAAAAGATTTGGAAGAAAATATGGGGACTCAAGAAAGCCTTGCCTCTTTCCAGTTCTCAACACAAATTGCATCTGTTTCGGACATACTACAGGAACGATCACACATACACAAACCTACTCACACACAACCCAGCGCCTTTTGCATCTGACGCCTGACGAAAACGACAACGACCGGCCCTAGAGACCCCCGCATTCACACAACAACCTGGCCATCTCGATCGGGTCCAGCCCTCAGTTGGCTGGCTTGGGACTACAGATAGTTCTCGACTTAAGACCATGGTTTCCATCGCTAAGCAAGATGGTTAAATGAGCGTGGCTCCGTTTTATGACTTTCCCTGCCACCGTGGCTACGTGAATCCCTGCTGTTAGCAACTTAGTTGTCCGGTGAATCTGCTCGGCAGAAGGTCGCTAAATGAGATGGTGCGACCGTCGTAAGTATGAGTCAGTTGTCAAGCGTCCAAATTTTGATCGTGGCACCCTGGGGATGCCAGAACGCCGGGGTGAAAAGCCATCATCAATCTCTTTTTTTCCCCCAGTGCCATCACTAAACGAACGGTCGTAAATTGAGGACTACTTAGAAAACCACCAGGGGTGGTTGTGCTCTAAAGCAAAGCAATTTTGGAACAAAATAAGGATTTGGCTGCAAGAAATAACTGGGCGGAAAAAAATAGAACTTATACCTGAAATGTTGCTATTAGGGATAATCAGAGGTGATTGCAAGAAAGAAATTGAAGACATAATAATTCATATATTGACAGCAGCTAGAATAACCTATGCTCAAAACTGGAAATCAGGATAGCAGTCCCATATAAATCAGATAACAGATAATTAGAGTGGGAAGGGACCTTGTAGGTCATCTAGTCCAACCCCCTGCCCAAGCAGGAGACCCTACACCATTTTTGACAGATGGGAGTACAATCTCTTCTTGAAAGTCTCAAGTGATGACGCTCCCACAACTTCCGAAGGCAACTTCTGTTCTTTACAGATGAACAGAGTTGGAAGGGACCTCGTTAGGTCATCTAGTCCAACCCTCCACACCCAAGCAGGAGACCCTACACCATTTCTGACAGAGGGCAGCCCAGTCTCTTCTTGAAAGCCTCCAGGTATGAAGCTCCCACAACTTCCGAGGGCAACTTCTATTCCAGGGGTTGATTCTTCTCAATATCAGAAATTTTCTCCTTATTTCCAGGTTGAATCTCTCCTTGTTCCGTTTCCACCCATGATTCCTTGTCTGACCTTTGAGTGCCTTGGAAAATAGCTTGACCCCCTTTCTCCTCTCTGTGGCAGCCCCTCAAATATTGGAATAGTGCTTATCCTGTCTCCCCCGGTCCTATATATAATTCAATCAATATGGAAAAGCCGATGTCACAACGTATTGCAAAAAGTGTAAACATGATTTGTTTTTAAAATGGTCAAACTTTAATAAAAATTTAATTTAAAGAAGATCAGAAAAGAAAACCACCACGGGGAGCAGATCAGACTGGTGAGGGTCAGTTTTTTGCTGGCCAAAATTCAGCCAAGCCGATTTGCGACTGGGGGAGGGGGAAGGAAGACCATCTCCCAAATAAACCATGGTTTGCCCACAGACTAATCCCGGGATTGTCTTAAGGAGCTCCTGCGTGCAGGAAGCCCTTTCCTCTCCTTCTCTGCCCACGCCGAGGAAATGAGTTGGCAAGGCTTGTCAGGAAGGTAAACAGGAAACTTGGGCAGAGCCAGCCGGCCGGCCCCGTGAAGAATGACTCACAGGTAACTTCAGGAAACCACCTCCCCTGGGAGGAACCAGGGCTGGTGTGGGGCACAAAAGACCAGCTGTCCACCAGCTCTCTCTTCCCCCAACGGTCAGGAGGTTTGCCAAAAACCCAAAATAAATAAAAGAACAGCATCTGATCTGGAGCTTCAGTTATTTGCAAGCAGAACGTTTGATTTTGTCAGTTTCAGGGGGGGCTCCTGAAGACGGTTTCTAGTATCCCCCAGCGTGCCAGAAACACCGGGCTGCCCGGGACTCCTATCGGCCTCTATTCCTTTGCTCCCTATATTTTATCCATTTAATTCAGCCTCTCCCCAAAGCCTTGGGAACTTTTAAGGTGTGCAGACTTCAACTCCCAGCCAGCTACGCCGGATTTTTTCTCTCATTCTCACTAAATTGGAGAGATTGCAGAAAAAGGGATTACAAGAGAGCAACTAAAGCTATGCGGGCTGGGGAATTCTGGGAGTTGAAGTCCAAATATCTTAAAAGTTCCTGAAGTTGGTGTATAATGATTTAGGGAGTGTCTGCAAACGAACAAAATCGTGTCAAATCAAAACTGCCCCCTTTTTTTTTCTATGAGGAGTAACGAGTGTTTCACTTGCCATGGCTCCTTTGACTTTTTTGACCTCCCTTGCCTCAAATACCCCTTTGCTTAACACCTGCCCTGTTAAAAATTTGCAGCGCTAATGATTTACCAGGAGTGGAACTGGAGGAAGAGATAGTGAAGGGACCAAGGATAGCTTGGGCGAAGAACGTACGCCGTAATATATAATTAGATGATTGGGTAAGGTTATGGACCAAAAAATTACAAATTAACACGGTCAACAGCATACCAAGAAAATCAGTATAAAATGTTCTATAGATGGCATATTTTTCAGCCCCGGCAAGATTGGCAAAAATATATCCAAATACAAAATCAGAGTGTTGAAAATGTGAACAAAAAGAAGGAACGTTTTTTCACGTGTGGTGGCAACGCCCCAAAGCTAGAAAATATTGGATGAAAATACAAAGATGGTTACGGGAGATAGCAGGACATCAAATAGAATTTAAACCTGAAATATGTTTTTATTGGGAATAATTAAAGGGAAATTTAGCAAACAAATCCAATACATCATATGGCATATAATAACAGCGGCGAGGATAGTTTTTGGACAGGGTTGGAAATCAGAAAGCATACCACCCAAAGAGGTGTTGATGCAAAAAATATCAGAATGTGTGGAGATGGACAAACTTACAACAGAACTAAATCAGAATACTACACGGTTTGGGATAGATTGCATAAGTGGATAGAATTTGATTGCTTATTGTACCCTATGACTATCACTGTTGTACTTTATGATGCTTGACGAATATATTTTTCTTTTATGTATACTTGGAGTACTTGCACCAAGATAAATTCCTTGTGTGCCCAACCACACTTGGCCAATAAAGAATTCCATTCCATTCTATTCTAGAACATAGGAATAAGGATTAATGTATAGAAATAGGAATAGGAAGTTGTGGGAGTGCCACCATTTGAGACTTTCAAGAAGAGACTGGACTGGCATCAGTCAGAAATGGTGTAGGGTCTCCCGCTTGGGTGGGTGGGGGTTGGACTAGATGACCTACAAGGTCCCTTCCAACTCTGATTATCTGTTAAAACATCTGTTTGAAATAAATGTAAATATATGTAATATTGATGACACAGTACTGTTAACAATGTAAATAGAAATGTGTAATTTTAAAAATAATAATAATAAAATTTGCAGCATTGGCTGCAAAGACGTTAAGCTTGGTTAGCCTTAAACCCAGTTTGTTTGGTTTTTTTGAGGCTTGGAGCGTTCGGCTTGATCGCTTTCTGAGTCAGCAAACAGGTTGATCTGCACCCTGGTAGAGTGCCTTGGGGGAAGGCAGCTCTACTAGTTTAACTGGAGCCGAAAAGGACAACTCGCCAACGACACTCAGCTGGAGTTTCTCCACCCTTGCTGTTCGTAGCTACAACGGCACCGGAAAAGAATAGACTTGGGACCGTTTTTTTTCACACTTACGACCGTTGCAGAATCACATTATCAAGTCAAACACTTGGCAACTGATTCATACTCACGACGGTCGCAGAGTTCCGGGGTCGCGTGATTCCTCTTTTGCGACTTTCCGACAAGCGAAGCCAATGGGGAAGTTGAATTTGCTTAACAACTGTGCGGCCCACTTAATAACTGTCGTGATTCGCTTAACAACCAGGACGAGAAAGGTCGTAATACGGGGCAAAAGCCCATTTCATGCTTTTCTTCCTTAGTAATTAAAAGTCTATTCCAGTCTTAAGTCCAGGACTGCCTAGATTTCAGATTTTTTAAAAAAAAAATACTCTGGAAAATATTGAAAACCTGTTGCAGGGGACTGAACTGCTCCCCAGTCTGTGCAGACCCATGGGATCTGTAGTCCTGCCGATTAAAGAGATAGGCAATTTAACAGAGTAACAGAGTTGGAAGGGACCTTGGAGGTCCTCTAGTCCAACCCTCTGCTCAAGCAAGATGGCGAACCTATGGCACGCACGACACAGGTGGCACGCAGAGCCATTTGTGCCGGCACGCAAGCCTCAGGCAAACTTACCTCACTGCGCATGCGTGCGCCTCACAGCTGATTTTGGGCCGGTTTGAGGCCTTTTTCGGCCTCCCAGAGGGAAGCCTTTGCAGGCTGAAAAATAGGCCCCTTTCGTCACTTCCTGTATTTCCGGAAATACCGGAAGTGACGAAATGGGCCTATTTTTTTGGCCTGTAAAGCCTGCAGAAGCTTTCCTCAAGCCTTTGGGAGGCCGAAAAAGGCCTCAAACGGGCTGAAAATCATCTGGGAGGCTCAGTGCCGGGAAGGGGGACGATGGGGAGGATTGCGCACGCCTGTGCAGAGGGTGGGCTGCATTGCCTTCCGGGTGCCGGCACGCAAGGCATGCGCATACAAGCGCGTGCCAAATTTTTAGCCCAGGAGCCCCAAAAAAAGGTTAGCCACCACTGCCCTATACGCCATATTCCAGACAAACGGCTGTCCAATCTCTTCTTAAAACCCTCCAGTGTTAAAGCACCCACCACTTCTGGTGGCAAGCAGTTCCACTGGTTAATTGTTTCTCACCGTCAGGAAATTCCTCCTTAATTCCAGGTTGCTTCTCTCCTTGATCAAGTTTCCAACCCGTTGCTTCTTCTGCCTTCAGGTGCTTTGGAGAATAATTTGACAACCCACACCTCTCCTCTTCTTTGGGGCAGCCCCTCAAATATTGCAAAAGACTGCTATCATGTCACACACACACACACACACACACACACATACCCCTGAAGTCCTTCTTTTCATTAAATGGGACATCCTCTATCAATTCCAAGGGAACTTTAAAAAAAAGCACGGCCTGTTTGTTTGCAAAAGACATCCCTGGGCTCCTCCGATCTGCGACGCTGTAAATCAGGATTAGAAGCAGGCAAACCCGACGGCAGAGATCCCTCAAACTTGGCCACTTTAAGGCTGGTTTCCTTCAAGTCCCAGAATTCTGCCCGGCCGGCATAGCTTGCTCTTCTCTTGTAATCCCTTCCTCTGCAATCTCTCTCTCTCTCTCCACTTTAAGGGAGGTTAAGGGATGAAAAGATCAACGCCCGGCAGCCTTGGGAATCGGGAGATTGGGAAGCAGGGGTTCACGTGCCCCGGGGAACCCCAAACTGCTCACGGGTTCGGGCAGGGGGACCCTGATACACCCCCCCAACCATGCAAGCCCTACTCATAGGGCCGCTCCGACACCCCCCGAGAGATTTGAAGCACGCAAGGGGAGATAACCTGGGAACAACATCGCACCCATCACAACGACAGGGGATTCTTGGCCTGCTCCTCCAGATGTTTCAGGACCAGGCTAGATAATATTATCAGGGCTAGGAGGGGGAGGATTTGTGGGGTGGAGGAAGAAGTAAGGAGGAGGAGGAGGAGGAGGAGGAGGA